ACCTCATCGTCAGCTCCATATCTGGTTGCTGGTGAACATCCTACTCCAGACCCATGAGCACGTACATGCTGCTGTAACAACCGTCTGTGAAAGATACCGATGGGATCTGGAGGCAGGCTGCAAGGATTTGCTCCCGGACTTGGATTGGAGTACAAGGGCACTGTCTTACAACGGGAATGGGCTACAACTGCTGCCACAGAAATATTGTCACGACGGTGTATTCACGTGTCGCTGTGCTGGAACTAAGGGGGTCAGACTCTGTGGCCAATTCATTGGGCACATCCAGCCAACATGAATGCAGTCTAACAAGAAGCCCTGAAGAGGCACTGATTCAACTTCCAGGTTATTTTAGAGGCTGCGGTTTGTCGTGCTGCTACTATTTTGCACGAATCAACACCTCTGTACAGTTTTAACATCATTCCAAGAAGGTAGGGTGTACTGCAGGTCCTGGTGTCATAGAGAGCACTGGTTGGACCTCGGTGTACCTAATATAATCCGGCAGCTGAGTGTGGACAGGACTGACCACATACTTTTGGTCATACAGCAACACAGTGAAGATGGGGGAACCTGAAGTCACCAACCCCTGCCTCACCTTTGGGGTAATTGACGACATAGACCAAGTTTCCCCAGTCGTTCTCGGGCGCATGGAGGACCCCCTCCATTAGCCGGACTCCCCTCATGCACTGGGACTCTGGGTTCCTGTACCGCAGCCCGCACGCCCCTGGAAACTGTGCTGCTACCGACGACAGCAGAACGGTGCCGTCGTCCTCTGAGGGGATCTCCATGGGCTCCTCGTTTTCATCCTCAGCCACACGAATGTACAACTCGGACATGGTCTCTGAACGGCTGAGTGCTGGCCCAGGTGGAATCAGCTGGTGGCGCTAGAGATAGCAGTAAACACCGGACTGATGCACACGAGGTAGCGTCGATCCGCGCTCAACTTTACTTCTGTTAGCTGGGTGACGCAACTCGAGTGCAAGCGCAGCCAGACGCAGACGGACAAACTGTGCGAAACGAAAAAACACTCACTCACACCACTCTGTTAGCAGTTAATAGCTCGCGGCCATGAATACTGTGCGTTTTCTTATCTGCTCACAGCACGCGTAAACAAGTTGGCCAGCTAGCTAAGCAGCTAGCAAACTCAAGACGGCTCGAAAAATGAATGAGCATTCAGTTTCGCGCGGTGTTTACTGTCAACAAACACACGAGTCCCCCTCTTGGCTCCGAGCGTGTGGTCGAAAATTAAACGCAAGTAACAACATCAACAAGTTCTCTTGCTCGGTTAGATATATGTAGGAAATCGTCGGCGCACAGTGAATATTCGCAGCTATACGCGGCTAACCTCTCTAACCTCAAGCTAGCTAACAAAATGGCTGCGCATCTTGTAGAGATGACATCATCTAGTTGGGAGGGCCCACTGTTGTTTTTTGTAGGGATGCCAAAAGTTAAAATTAAAAACATTAGGTCATTAGTTTGACTTTAGATTACCAGCTGTCGTTTAGCTTTTTATAAACTTGGCTTAGACGTTATGTGGTTAACTTTACTGATGTTTTCGTGTTGTATTACTTGCAACGGGGAAAGTATAAAGCTCGCGATTCACCCTTTGAATTCTAACCATAAAGATTCACCTTTAAAAAGCCCAAACAAAAGGTGCGCACTGAGAAATTCTGTACAACAATAAAATATGTGTCTATAATAATAATAATAATATCATGCAACCATGTGTCCTGTATTTTTTTTTGTTTTTGTTTTCCGTGGTATAAGAGTTTAATAAACATTTTTGGGCTTTTTGGATTACATTTTTAAAGAACTGAATAAGCTATGATTATGATGAAATACTATTATGATATGCCCAATAAGGCCTAAAATGATCTTTGTCAAAATGTATCATAATGTGAGAATGCAACACCTAACCAACCCACCAGTGTTACAGCCATTACAAACTTATTATCTGCAGCCAAAGATTCAAAACCACAACAATGTTTATTATATATTGCATATTAACATTGACTTCCAATTTGTATCCACAAGAACTTTCCTTCTTTTACCAGATTAAACTGTATTATCGTATTCCTTAGTGGTAGTTCTGTTACCAACCAATGTGTATGAGAAATCTAAAATATTTGTATTTTATGGGTTGGTGCCTATTGACAGCTTGGTTGGAATATTTCGGTCATTGTAAACATCATATCATTTCAATGAAGAGATGAAACAAGGTGACACAGAATGTATGTGATATTTAGGTATTATTTTAAAGCTACTTAAGATGTGAAAAGGTAAAACTGGATGTTAAGGGGTTAACCTTTAATAGATCATCACCACAAATTCTTTAATGACAAAACCGTGACAAATTGGGCATCTACAACTGCTTTAAAACCTGTTATTCACACATGCTGGAGACAGTAATAATTCTTTGTCCCATTTTCTGTCACTTGCCTTTAATGTGTCAGAGCAAACACACCTGTTTTGTTTTTCCCCTCCCTGCAGTGACATCAGCCCATTCAGCTATAAAAAAGGCTGGGGTCAGACTGCTCACGGGTGTTTTCATCAGTAGAAGTGTCATGGATCAGAAAAGATTTGGCATCCTACTCAGAACTATGTGAGTAGTCTAATGTTGTACAAAAATGGATGTAAACCATTCACTATCTTCAAAATATAAGCTCAATTCTTCTCCGTTCTTTTCTACAGTGTTTTGCAGTGTTTTATCACAAGGAATGTGCTTTCAGTTCAGAAAAGAGAATGGATTGATACCCCAGCAGCAAAACTAACAGGTAAACCTTACTTCTGTGATGACATGCAGTTGTTTTTGGTCCTTTCGCGTCATATGTGAGAAAATGTCGTTGCATTTTCAGAAGGAGATGTGGCTTGTTTTTCTGAATACATGGAGATGTGGATCCACAGTGCACGGATTGAAGGGTTGGGAGTCTGGCTGTCCGGGGCCTTACGGATCCAAGGTAATTATTTCTGACATAAAAGATAAACACAACATGGAGATTAAATGTGTAAATATATTTGTTCTGAACCACTTTTTGCTTTCCACAAGTCAACCTTGCATCTCTGGATCACCTAAACCTCCAGCTGTCTTCCTGTGGATTCTCTCTGCACAAAGACCCTGATAAGAACTTTATTTTTAGAGTCAGTTACACTGGATGTTTGGTCCAGGAACAGGTGTGTCATGCTTTTAAGAAAAATCTAATCCACATACAGAAACTCTGACATTTGACCTTTACAACTGGGCTTGGTGGAAATAATTCCTTGATGTATGTTGACTGTTCAGAGCGGCTACCATGTCCTGACCCTGAATTTAGTGAAGAGGATAAACCGATTTGGAGGCAGACCTCACAGTTTCATGATGAAGTGTCCCTTTGTTTCTGTGCTGCCCAGCAGAGAGCAACTCCAGTGTGACCCAGAGTATATTCAGGTAACTGTTGACATTGATAGTTCATAGAATGTAGGTTAAACTTTTAATTGTTTTACCCAGGTATTTTGCTTTCTTATTCTGATAAGATTTATATGTGTCTATAGGTGACCAGACAAGTTCCCTATGACAACTGGCATAATGAGGTACCAAATGAAATCAGCCCTCGAAAATATGGTTGTACTATAAATGTGAAGAAATATAAAAAAAAAAAAACAGGCAGACTGTCTGACTGTGTTTTTGTCTTTGCTTGTTTGCTTGTGCTCTACAGCTGCATTGGTCTCTGTCTCTGAGTGATCACCTCATTGTAGCTCTGGATGATGCCAGCCTGATCCAGATGACCATTGACATGACTGGAGCTGACATTACAGTTCAAGGCAGGAGGAGGGAGATTATGAGCCCTATCAAAGTAAGAAACCTCACATAGCACACTGCCATCTAGTGACCACTGGCAGTGTTACAGCTGAAATTCACTGAACTGTCTTTGGTTAACACAGGTAATGGAAAATGAAGGGGAATTCTTGGCCTTGAAGCTGGTCAGTGGACAGTATGCCTACAGTATGGAAGCCACGTGTCCAAAAGGTAGATAAGCAAGCCAAGCAATTAGTCATCAAAGTTATTTTACTTTGTCACAGCACACGCTTTAACATGTTTGTCCCAGTCAGTAGTGGAAGAAGTATTCAGATCATTTACTCAAGTAAAATTACAAATACAACAATGTAAAAATACTCCATTACAAGTAAAAGCTCATCCAAAAGTACAGAAACATCAACAGCAGAATATACTTAAAATATACAAATTAAAAGTAATCGTTCTGCAGAAAAATAACCTGTCAGTGTTATTACTATAACAAGGTTAGATGCATTAATTTGTAAGTAGCATTTTACTATTGCGGCTGGTCAAGCAAGAGCTAGTTTTAGCCTGTTTATATAAAGTTAGGTAGTTTAATTCAGTGGTTCTCAATCATTGCATAATTTTACTTCTTTGGGCCTTGAACAAATATTTAAGTGACACTACTGAGAAGTTTAGAGGGACCCCGAGTAGACTTTGTTCTTTTGTAAGGGGCCACAATCCAAACTTATCATGTGTTTTATTATGTAAACTCTTAACCTAAAACGTAGCCAATAATTACATCTATCAAATAAATATAGTGCAGTAAAAAGTACAATATTAACAACTGAAATGTAAGTATAAGTATAAGTATAAAGTAACATAAAATTTAAATACTTAAGTACAAGTATCTCAAAACTGTACTCAAATGTAATGTAAATGTATTCATATGTTTTTATTAATGTATAATCACCTAAAAATAAGAACTGTTGTGTTTACCTTAGAATGAGCTGTTTAGATCTACAAATGCCGCGGGTCGGCAACTGTGGAGGCCGCTGTGTTGAACCACCATGTTTCTACAGTAGCCCAGAATTGACAAACTGCGAGATGCCACTAAATCTTACACACTGGTCCTTTAAGCCCAGTACTTGAGTAAATGTACCTGGTTACTTTCCACCACTGATCCCAGTAACAAATGTTATCCCTGATTTCAGTGACCACGTCCACAGCA